AAGTAAACGTTAACGGGGGAAGTGCGCCCAGAGGTGCTGCTGGTGGAAGTGGTGGTGGTGGTGGCCCGTCATTCCGTTTCAATCCCGCCGCCGCGACCGAGTTCGTCCCGTCGTGGGGACAACCCGCTGGCTACCAACAGCAGGAATACAACCCATACGCCCAACAGCAGGGCTACTACCAGCCTTACCAAGCTCAGGGGTACCAGCAAGGGTACGGCCAGCAGGGGTACGGTCAGCAGCAGCAGTACCAGGCCTACCAGGCACCGCAACAACAAGCGTATCAGGCACCTCAACAACAGGCCTATCGTGCTCCTCAATCGCAGCAGCAAGGTTACCGCTCCTACCAAGCGCCTCAACAGCAACAGCAGCAAGCCTATCGCGCACCTCAACAACAACAACAGGCATATCGCGCACCTCAACAGCAGCAGGCTTATGTTGCGCCTACTTCTGGACGTTCTAATGTGATCTCAATCGGTGGAGCAAAATCTGCTGACAACAAGGCGCCTACCATTTCTATTGGAAGCAAGCCACAGGGTGGGTAAATTTCGAAGCAGATCTGAGAAAGGGGCCGGGGAGGATGCTGCACGAGCGCCAGGAGCGGGCATTGGACCACGCAAACTAATACCGTGAATTCCAACTTTTAGAGAATGGAGCACCCGCAAAAGCACCTACAATCTCGCTGGCTAAGAAGGAGGAGGAGTCGAAGCCCGAAGCTGTTCCCGCGGACGAAAATGTTGAGACTGCCCCCGATGCACCAGCTCCCGCGGAATCTGCTTCGGAAGAGGCACCTCCTGCACCTGAGCCGGTTGCCAAACCGGCGGCTCCAGCTCCTACACCGGCGGCTGAACCGACGCCCGCACCGCTTGCTGTCGAGGAAGAGTATAAGGAAGAGGATTTCCCGGACGAAGGTGGAAAAGAGCATCTGAACATCGTCTTCATTGGTCACGTCGATGCGGGTAAATCCACAATGGGTGGACACCTTCTGTACGTATTCTCTTCAGTTTCCTTCTCCAGACGTCAAAACCTGAAATGGGGTGATTGATGTTCCATTTTTGTTTAGCTTTTTGACTGGTATGGTGGATAAGCGAACCATGGAAAAGTACGAGAAGGAGGCAAAAGAGTTGGGTCGTGAATCGTGGTATCTTTCTTGGGCTCTTGACCTGAACCAAGAGGAGCGAAACAAGGTACGGGGCGTTTTCTTGCCGGTCTGGGAATCGCGGCGGTTGGCATTTTTACCGGTGATTGATCGTTCTTTTGCGCTTAAACAGGGAAAAACCACAGAATACGGTCGCGGCTACTTTGAGACCGAAAAGCGCCGCTTCACCATCCTCGACGCGCCTGGACACAAAAACTTTGTCCCCTCCATGATTGGCGGTGCATCTCAGGCCGACATTGGTGTTCTCGTCTTGTCAGCGCGAAAGGGCGAGTTTGAAACTGGGTTCGAGAAGGGTGGACAGACGAGAGAGCATGCCATGTTGGCGAAGACGGCGGGCGTGAAGCGGTTGATTGTTGTGGTGAACAAGATGGACGATCCTACGGTTCAGTGGTCCAAGGAGAGGTGGGTTCGGATTGGAGCAGGCGATTCGGGAATTTCCGATGGAATTTGTGCCGTGAGCGGAAGCTGAGGAACGTGCTGCTTGCATGCAACAGATATGATGAATGTACTGGGAAAATCTTGCCTTTCTTGAAACAAGTAGGATACAACCCGAAGACCGGTGAGTCCTAGCTCTGTGAACGGAAACGGCTTCCTGCATTGGGAGTTTGGTTAAATGAGATTTGGCTTTGTTAAATGAGATTTGGCTTTGCAGACATTGATTTCATGCCCGTGTCCGGTTTCACGGGGGCCAACCTGAAGGACCCGCTTGACCCGAAGACTTGTGACTGGTACAGGTAAGAGAGATAAATACGTTGAGTCAGATTCAATTGCAAACATCGTTGGAAAATCTGAGCATTTCTTGCGTTTTCTCCAGCGGTCCGTCATTGATTGGGCTGTTGGACTCGATGGAAGTTCCCGACCGTGGATTCAGCAAACCTTTCCTCATGCCCGTTGCTGACAAGTTCAAGGACATGGGAACGATTATTACCGGAAAGATCGAGTCTGGACGGGTTAAGAAGGGGCAATCGGTTCTTTTGATGCCGAACAAGGTACAGCTACAGATTGGGGTTTCACAGTGGAAAATTGTGGAAGCAGCGCGCGCTAAAACAACGCCATGGCATCTTTCAACAGCAAAGCTGTGAAATCTCCGCCATCTACTCGGAAGACGCGGAAGTGAACACTGCTAAAAGTGGTGACAATGTCCGCATCAGGCTTCGAGGCGTCGAAGAAGAAGATGTCATGTCTGGCTTTGTCCTGTGTGGAACCCGCAACCCCGTTCACGCCGTCACCAAAATCGACGCTCAATTAGCTATTGTCGAGTACAAGAGCATCATGTGTGCTGGGTACACGGCTGTCATGCACGCTCATTGTGCGGCTGAGGAAGTGACGCTTAGCGTAAGTGTTACCTATTGTATAATCCTGGTGTGCTCGACTTTGATCTGACCAGCGTTTCCTTTACCGCAATATTAGGAACTCCTCCACAAAGTCGACAAGAAAACGGGCAAGAAGTCCAAGCACCCACCCAAGTTTGTCAAACAGGGTGATGTGGTGATTGCTCGCATCGAGTTGCCGCAGGCCACGTGCTTGGAAACGTATGCGGATTACCCGCAATTGGGCCGGTTCACGCTTCGTGATGAAGGTACGACGCTTTTGCTGCTTTCGCTTAGTGAGTTGGGAGGCGTTTATTGACAAACTTTGTTGTTGTGGTGTCCCAATAGGCAAAACCGTGGCAATCGGCAAAGTCACCAAACTCATTTTCGACGAGTAAGACCCTTCCCGTTTTCTGGACTCGACACTTTCTTGTAGTTTTTCAATCGACTGTGGGGCTGGCGCGGGATTTCATGTTCCCGCAATTTGGGTTTGGGCTGCTGCTCTTGTGTTTAGCTTTTATTATGTAGAAAGGGGGCATTTGGTTGGGAAGAGATTTCAAAAATGCATTTGGGTTACACGTTTGACACAAGTTTTGTGTGTTGATTGGTGTTTGTGCGTAGCGTTGAGCGTTTGAATGTGCGCTTGTCATGTGGAGATCATGATGTCCCCCTGTCCACACCCAGAGCTACTCGTTTTTTTTGTTGAGTGGCGAAGGACGGGACGTTGACCCCTTGTTTCGCTCTCCTCCAACAGCTTTTGGTTCTGTGCTGTCAAAATGTATGTTTGGAGCCTGACGGCAGCTTATGGTTTGCAGGCTGTGGTAAAGGACCAAGTCAAAAACCCGCACCAGGTAAGGAACGTCTAGGGAGGTTCGGTCGACGAGTTTGTGGGTACTGGAAAGTCCACTCGGTCTTTGTTTAGAAAACCAGAAACAATATGCTGAGGGCAAAGTGCGGGAGTATACCCTTACTGTGTTCCTGATTGTGCCTCGTCTTTTCTTTTTTTTTGGCCATTTTGCATTCGTCGCAAAAAAAGACGTTGCATTCCTCCAAAGCGAAAAAGGTGCCACGCACGCGTCAATCGGGGCTTGATCTCAGGGTCCGAGTTCTGAACTTGGGACAGGGACAATAATTTGGTTTTGAATCGTTTCAGGAAACTCTTCCTAAACCTGTTCGAGGTTGTTTTCCAAATCAACAATTCGTTATTGCGGGTCTTTCTTTTGGTTGAAAAACAGGGGATGGTCCAAGCAGACATCGATTGTTGGGCGCACACATTTAGTCTCCGTCTCTACGCTGTCTTTCCAAACTTGAGAAAAAAAGGAAATCGAATCGGCCATATTCAGATGGGATCGATTGTAACAGAACCAATACACAAGTATATGGCTTTAACGATTGGAGTCAGAAATGTATTCCCGAAGAGGGTGTAGACACAGTAGACACATGCATGAGCTGTCCTAATACATATCCGGCATTGGTGGAAGCGAGAGCTAAAGCAGGAGGCGGAAAGCACTACAGAGTATCGCGGGTATGGGATTAAGTGAGCCCTCCAAAACGAGCGAAAAAAAACGGCGGTACGGGCGAAGAGTCCAGGAATGATTGCCACGGGGCGTACCGACCGGCGCCGTTGGATACCCTCGAAGCGCAGTCGAATCCGTCTCAAAAACGAGGGATCGACAAGGTCACATGCACATCAAAACAACTGGTTGGCACAGCACGGCGACTGGTAAAAGCGCTAACTCTCAAATGGCGCCTAGAATTTCGTTTCTTCATAATTCCAAATGTCAAGTGCCAAAAGTCAGAAATCATAGGCACTAAATGGCTGAATTACCTCCCGAGCTGAGGTGTCGGTGGAATCTATAGAATGGGCAAAGATGGCCTTTTTTAAGCCAAACGGTATTTTTTCTGAGAATGCGAAGAGAATGGGCGAAAAGTCCTGCAAAAGAAACGACGAAAAACACCACAACTCCCGCGGAAAATGCGCGTCCCTCTTAAGGCGAAACGCGCATTTCTTATCATGGCAGGCCATCCATTTCGCCTCTTGCCGCCCTCCCGACGGACGCTCTACGCCTACTTATCCCACTTCTTCCTCTTCCCAAACAGAACGAAGATGCTTTTTTAGCAGCAATACTATCCCACGCCAAAATCTCCACTTCACAAACTCCAATACTCCACCCGTCACCGGCAGTTTCTGCCCAGTCGCTTGAAGAGACGCCAACTTAGATATAATAATCCGTATCGGCTTGTTGAAGGAACACTACCATTTTGCAACAACCAAAACGCGTAGGCACAAGAATGATCGTCTCCTGCTGAAGGTATCAAGGTCGCCTCCAAACGCAAACGTAAGTACAGAGTGTACAGTTCAATTTCAACCGTACAATTGCAAAATCTTCAACAGGTATTATAAACCGCTCTTACCAAATAAGAATGACCGAATAAAATTCTCACATCCTTCCCTTCATTTCCCTACCATTGGAGGTAAAGAGGAAAAAATAAGGCTTGAAAAGGGGAAAAAATAAGGCCAGCAACAACTGTGATGGTTTCAGCCGGGATCGAACCGGCGACCTTATGCGTGTGAGGCATACGTGATAACCAACTACACCATGAAACCGATATATTCCGGTCTTGACTTCATCATTCAAGAACCGGCACGCCCTCCAGCATGCTTGAGCTGGTTGATTTCACAAATACTGCAGTTGACGACGTCGGACACCGCGTACGAAGGTCAAACGCAACCAAGGAAATCCAATATATACTGTTGTATTACACCAGGTCTCAAATATGATACGATCCCCAAAACACAAAAACTTTGGAAAAACTGTGAACAAAAAAACATAGCGCTCTATGCCAGCGAGGAAAAAAAATCTGACACCACACTGCCGCCGCCTTCACCTCCATGCTCCCCACACCTATGCTTCTGATATCTACGACACCATCACACCCTGCCGCTGCTGCTGCTGCTGTTGCACCGTAACCCCTTCCTTCTCCTTCCCCTTCCCTTCCACCTTCCCGGTCTCTTCCATCTTCTTGGCCACCCGCGTGAGGAGGTACCGCACCAACCTCGCGTGCCGGCGTTTGGCAGCCAACGTCGCGTGTTCCGATTGAGGTGTCTGTGTGGATGACGAAGGGGGACGGGCGCGCGGGGTGGGTGTGGAAGTTGATGGGCGAGAGGATTGAGATGTGATGGAGAGTTTGTTGAGTTGGTGGGTGAGGGAGTCGGTGGGTGTGGGTGTGGGTGTTGGTTTGGGTTGTGTTGCGGTTGCGGTTGGGGTTGGAGTGGCGCGTGTGGGAAGGGGGGAAGGTGTGGCACGTAACGCGGCCGCGCGGGGAGTTGGGGTTGGCACGGTTCGTGATACCGGTGCGGAGGGACGCGATGGGGTTGCTGAAGCTGTGGGCGTTGGTGTTGGTCGTGGTTGCAGGCTGGCAGTGCCAGTGGGAGGCTTCACCCCATTCACCGCGCCCGCACCGCCTCTGCTGCTTCCAGCATCCTTTGCGGCCTCCGCACCCTTCCCGACGCCCGTGCCCTTCCGCCTGTCCGCTCCCTGTGTCTGCGCAGGCATCGTAAACATCATTTGGGGGTCAAACAGCGAATTGTCGTTCAAGACGCGTTCCGAGAATTGAGGCGCAGCTTGGTACGATGCTGCATCGTATGGTCCAGATTCGTACGGCGGCGACATCGAATCGTAGCCAGAGAACGGCGACGACATTGCAGCTTGTTGATCAAAGACGCCCTCGGGCATTGAAGTGGCAAACAGAGCCAAGGTCGGGTCGGGCGTCAGGAGTCCGTCCGAGTAGCTCGAATCGCTTACACCGTTCGTCAATTGCTGATCAAGCGCAAAGTTTGCCGTGTTGACGTGCGCAGCCCCTGGAACTGCCGCAACGGCATAGGGAGGAACCGGGACTCCAACCGAGTTGGTGGAACTGAATATGGCGGGTCCAGCCACGCCCACGCCCTCAAACGACCCATCCAAGAACAAATTGGGATCGCCAAAGTTGAAATCAAGTTCGCCGCCGTACGGAACAGGTGCGCCATCGTCGAGCTCGTTGGAGAGCTGTTGAAGAAAGTCGTTGATTTCGGTCAGATCCTCTGAAGGTTGAAGTGCCGCTAATGGGTCGCCGTTGGGGTCGTTCATGAACAAAGGCGCCATTTCGTCCAAACGGTGTGCCATTGCTTTAAGAAAGTGCATGATAATGTCAAAAAAGATAAATGTCCTGCGGACAGCAGCACCCAGGGATTCAAAAACGGCAAAGTGGGAATTACACACCAGAGTCATAAGTAGCCATGAGACGCTTCTTTTTCACGTCGGTAAAGAAGTCTTCCAAAACATCGGGTCCGCGCTTCCCCTTTGGATAAGCAGGGATAAAGTACGGGTCGAGGTTTCCCAGCAGCGGCTGCTGCAGAGGATCTCCCAGAGGAAGGTCCGGGCTGACGTGGTGGTGGAGAGGTGAATCGTCCATGTTGGGTGAGAAATCCGATATTATCGAGTTGGGTGAAAGTCCTGTATGATCCGGAATGAGCGGTGAGTGGTGCGTTTCTGAATTAGAATTTCGCTCCTGAAACCCATCAAGGCATTTACGAAACTAGCGCGATAGCAACGTACCAGGCATAGTTCCTAGGTCGGACCAGTCAGACGCTGGGGACGCGGGTTGTGCATAGGACGGATGATGCATTGGCGAGCGATTTGGCGACAGGCCACGCTCGGAGGACGACGATGCGGCGGAGACAGTGGAGGAAAAGGATGGGGATCTGCCTGCTTTCGTCCGACGCACTTCTGCCATTGACCGAGGTACGCGCAGAGCTCCTCCTCCTCCGTTCCCGTTCCCAGCACCAGCCATCCCCTTCGACGGACTCGCGCCCGATTCGCAATCCCCACCATTATCCTCCTGGTGCAATTTTTCATGTTTCTTCAAATCCTGGGGTCTTTTGAACGCCCTGGAGCACACCTCACAAACATGAGGTTTAAGAGGAACGTGAACTCTGATGTGACTGGTAATGTGATCTCTTTTCGCCGTTTCAGTCCCACAGTTATCCCAAGAACAAATCAAGCACAAGTTGTGAGTAGCTCTCCTTCCGACGTGGTCGTTGCAGAGATGATTGTACAGAGCTTCTGGATCCGAGAATATCTCGGAGCAGGGGTTTGGGCTAGTCCATTTGCAGGAAAAGATATCCATTTGCTGCTGGGAGCCTATAGCAGCTCCTTTTGCTTTCGGGCTGTTTCTGAGTTCATTTTCGGGTTTTACGGCGGGAGGAGAGAAGGAAATTGCAGGCGGAGGGGAGGTAGGAGAGACGGCTCCTGCGCTTAGAACAGGAGGCATGGGAATGCAGGCGGAACTCGGTTACGCTGACGGAGGAAGACGGAAGGGATGGTGGTTGAACTTCGAAGAATGCGCTCGAGGAGGTCGGTTATCAGACGGCGCGGTTGTTTGAAGTGGAGAGGCGGGCGGGAATGATATAGGTACAGGTATACGCAGCAGAAACTGCGAGAACAAAGCGAGGTGCTAGAATCCAATAAGGTATCCGGACAGTTTGTTTGGGCGAACGGGGGAGGTTGTTGTTAATGGAGTTTGAGCATGTTCGTTGAGAAAGGGAGTTTGGCGAGAAGTGGGTTCCCATAAAAGGAGGCTGGAAAGACCCTGCGAGGCACCTGCGAGGCACCTGCGAGGGCTCCGTCCATAGAATGGCATATCATGGCATATCATATAATGTTATTGTATGTTATGGCATAGGGCGGTGCTGCGCCAAGACTTTATGGAATCGCCAAGATTTCGGAGTATGAAGGGTATCCACTAGATGTGATGACCTTCACTTCAGAAGGAGAGAACAACTACAGTAGATAGGATTCTGTTGCTCGTAACATAAATTGACGGTGCACAGAATCAATGTCCATCAATTCGCACATCCAGTCCATCCAGACTCATGAAAAGACTCCCTTGTTTGTCACCGCGCATCCCTCATGCAAACCTTTCAAAAAAGTCCACGTTCTGACCGCAAATGCTTACAATAGTTTCGTCTCGTGAGTGAATACCCGCACACGTAACCTGCCAAGAGACGGTTCCGCATAGGCATAGGGTGGCGGAAGATGCCCAAGTATTATTTCTTCTGAACCGCAGCACCGTTCCTGGTATCCCAGACATTATCGTGGCGGCGCATGCCGCCTCATTTGTTCCCCGCTCAAAAATACATGCAACCTGCGTTCTCAGTTATTTGACACCGACGCCACGAGCGTTACGTCGCTCAAAGCAGCATCCTGTCAAAGCACTGGGGATCTAAGCTCGCCACCCCACTAACACCTAAGTGATTTTGTTGCCTGGCTGCAGCGTGTTCGTATAAGCGAGCGAGCCATTCACGAGCGTACAAAATTCATTGTGACTTTTTTACTTCACTTGCAGTACTTGTCAATAAACGACCTGGCTGTATTGACTGGGGGTATTGGGCGTCCGATGTTTGCCCATGAGTGGGACGCACCAAGTTTCCGTAGGTATATGACAAAGGCTATATCTGCGTTGGTTGGCTAATTGTGGCAAACATGTTTTGGTTCCCTCATATTGTATCAAATGGAAACAACTGCATGCAGTGCTTCCCCAAAAAGCGGTTCGTTGCCACTCAGGAAAGCGCTGGGTATCTACATTTGCGCGATCGGAGATCGCTTTTTTTTTCTTGGGTAACATCGGTGCAGTTGCATAAAGACGAAATACACAATAATCCTATTAGTAGATGGCTAGCCGTTAGCGGGCCACAGGCAACTCATTACTGTTTTGCGTCTGTGTCGGGAGTGCCTCGCGCCCCTGCATCGCGTTCATAAATCACAAGGCAACCTGATGTCGACAGATGCTTGGAATCCGTTGATAGTCAATCTTTTTTGGGTCTTTTTGGAAATGGCAATATCTTCCCTGCTTCTACCCAGGCATCGACGTGCGGTGATGGAGCCACGATGGGCTTCCATCCTCCATGCCCAAATGCGATAACTACGACTCAAACGCAGTGTGTCGATGGTTCGTTTACGGATCATGATAAATGGACAGAGTGCAGTTCGAAATGGTCCTTTTTTTACGGTTCGCCAACTGGGGCGAAACTCCCTTTGGGGTACAGAAAAAAATGAAAATCGGTGCGAAGCGTGCAATTGCGCAGTCTGCTTGTGAGCACACGGTACGCACAAGCAATTGTTGTCTTTCGTTTCACCAGTTGTCCAAGTGTCAAGGTTTGCCTCTTCAGCCGTATTGATGGAAACAATCAAAATGCTGCGGGGGGTTACCATGCCAAATACATCCTAGCCCCTGCATGAGAGGTCCACGCCGGTGGTAAACGGGAATCCGTGACCCCTGCGTTGATTCACTGATGGAGCAGACGAAGAATTTTTTCGTCGTTTGGGGCGGGGCCATGGCTCCCATTGCCTTTTCCCATTTGGTGATTGCGAAAGGCATCGGGTACATCCGGGTTAAACGCACACGAAATTTGCGGTAAAGCCACGATGCCCTCCTCCCATTTTAGCAGCGGAGTTGTGGCGATTTAAACCGGTGGAGTAAGCTTGTTGTGTGTACGCGAAGAGTTGCTCGTGGGGAACGTCTCCCATGCCCCGCAAGTGGTGGTCGAACAATTCTCGTTTTTTTGTG